AGGAGCCTCACAATGTACAGTGACTTAAAAAAATAAGTCGGTATTATCAGCACAGTGCAATCATCAATGTACAGAATAATTGCTGTGAACGATTTAGGACATCCTACACTAAATTAAATTACAGTGGGAATAATCTGCTTAAGAAGGCAAGAAAACTGATAACATGTTAGAGGGAAAAAAAACCTTCCCCTACTCTAAAATATAAAAGCAAAAGAAGTTTCATTAATTAAAAAAAAAATTCTATAGACCCTCTTCTTCCTCCTCCAAATCCAGCCCCATGGATGGTGGGAGGGGCCTAATGAGTGAGGCTGTCTGGGAACGGGCACTTTAGCTTTCATGAGACGCTATCAATTCTAACCTCTCTATGGCTGTCAAGATGCATTTGTAACATAGAACATCTGCTTTTCAGGTTCTGGGTGGCGGCGATAACCTCAAAGTTGGTTAATTCCTGTAAAAATTGAGTTGTGAGCGATGATATTTAAGGTCTATTGTCTACGGAACATGCATTTTTACGTGGTCCTGTATAGAATGAAGGTTTATCTATGGATCAAGTTTTTGTCCTTGGGCTATGCAATTTTTGGATATTTGTAGACTTTTTTGTAAACTGAAAATGCTTTCTATGGCTTACGTGGAGGGAGGTTATAAGAAAATTGGACAGGAAATTCTTTACCTCATGTATTTACCAGCATGTTATTGAGAATTCAGTCATCTGGAAAGCACGTATTATCTCCTTTAAGAGGAATTTCTTTCTGGCCTCACTATGATGATTCACAGTGTTTCCCTGAAGCAGTTGATTTGTTTTTATCTCCTGGAGGTTGTGTATTTTGTTCTTTCTCTGTTTCCCTTTTTGCTTTGGTTTCTAGGATGCTTAGAATCAAGTATTCTGTCGATTTTAGATAATGAAACAGGGCTTTACATACAGAGGTTACCAAAAAATGTATATACATTTTAAAAAAGGAAAAAACTGTATTAAAATTGTAATACTTAATATATACCAATAACAAAAGATGACTATTAGTCATGCATATACATTTGTTTTTGGCGCCCCGGGTATATGAACCCATATGTATGCTTTTCTCTAGAGTTTTTTGTTACCCTTATTGTGTCATCTAACTACAGTTTTCTAGTTGTTTTTTTTAAATTTTCATACATTTTCACAAATTATGGGGGAGTTGTAAGAAAAGGAAAGAAGGAATGGATGGACGGCTGAATGAATGAATTTTGCTTTATGGTGCAGATGGATAAGGCAATCATTAAATTAGCTAGGCAGCTGAACTTTTAGACCACTCAAGGCAACCCACATCTTGCTGGTTTTGATATACTATTTTCATTAGAATTTACCAAGGCATCGGCTTTTGAAAAAGGGCCAGGGCACCTTTAATTGACCTGTTACAAACCGAGGCTCTCCAGCTGGGACAGGTCCGTTGCCACATAGGATGGATTGAAAGGTCCTGGCAGAGGCATCCTGGTTACATTTCTTCTGTATGGTTTGATATTATAACACTAACAAATGTTCCAACCCCCTTTATTCAGACTTTTAATAAAACTAAAGCTCAACCTTTTATGAGAGCAGAGGTGAGCCAATACTTTTGCTTGCAATGTGGCTTCGTGTATATTTTCTGCCTTGTGCGCTGAGAGCAAACAGCACACCTTGTTCTGATTTGGAAGGTAGTCTTATCATTCTTACATCTGGAGGAGCCTCCATTAGCTGTCACTCAGATCCAGATTTTTTTTTTCCCAGATGAGTTATTTCCTAGGGTTTGAAATGATACTGCTGGATACAAGAACCATCTCTGGAGTTAACGTGGCCTGGCCAAAGGCAGAGCGCAGGATGGAGCCAAGTGCCAGAGCTTAGATATCTGGGAAAAAAGTGCTTGAGAGGAAAAGAAACGCCACTCTTCTGAGCATTTCGCTAGCTGTACCTGGGTATCTGCTCGACTGGCAGTGATTGAAAGTTATGGCAATTTGGTTTCAAAGGTGCCGAGGTTTACGTACCATCCACTAAACAATGCACTACAGTCATAGAAAATAATGACTGCCAAGCCATAAAAGTAAAGTTTTGTTGTTGCTTCAAGGAGCTTTTCGTGTTGTCTCAAACATTTCAGTTGTATAGTTTATGTCTGGCTTGTGTCTGTAGAACAAAGGCTCTTTGGGCAGGAAATGTGTGTGGTGACTCTGCTGATGACGGGCTCCGCTAATGTCAAATCATAACAGCTCCTCTAAGAGGACAGCAGGAAATCATTTGTCACTGTCATGTATGGGCTGAATGTGTTGGAAGGGCTTTTATTTCACCTAAGAAAGAGCTAAAGACCAAACTGATACCGGGTCTTCAGGACACAAGGTCAATGCCAAGAGACTCACTTAAAAAAAAGAAAACGCCATGTAATTAACCAGCTAAACATACCACCACCAATCACGTGGTCACTTCGTTAGCGCTGCGGCACCCACTGAAAAATCCAGCCCCTTTCATCAAACTCAATTCAGAACACCCAGGCGCGGCCCTGCACTTTGCATCTTCTGTGTCAAACTCTATTTTCAATCCTTTATGTCAAATTTAAATTCACGGCAACTGCATTCAGATCTTGATAGAATCCTCAATTTGCCCTGGATGCCAAATCCATTCCACAAGACACACACACACACACACACACACACACACACACACGTGAGTGCATACATATTTGAACTTGATCTGTGCTCGCTGTAGCTAAGCCAGAGTCCAGGCTTTTGAATGGCTGCCTGCCTCTTGGCTAGAGCTTTAAGCTCTCAGATAAGTGTCTGCTGAAAACAAGGGTATCGTACAATTGGGTCTTCACCTCTTAGGTGAAGTAATCATAGCAGCACAACTCTTGCTTGGGATGAAAATGGCCCCACAAATTTTCTGTGGTATTTTCCCGTTCCTGAAGCTTAAATCTCTATCAAGCTTAAGTGAGCTGAACAAATTGGTGTGAGTGATGAAAAATGGATCATTTTGCCCCTGACCACATAGATCTGTTCTGTCCAAAACGAGGTCTTGATTAGGCATAAAGCCAACAGAAAGGCCCTGTCAACAACTTACAATGTAATACAACATCCAAAAGAAAAGATATCACTCACAGCTTTACCACTAAGAAAACATTCTAGGCAGTTCTCAGATATGAACTGACCTTGCTTATGGAAATCGTTTTTGCCTCGGGATCCATACATGCACAAAAGGATATAGTTTTTAAAAGCTCACTTTCTTCCTAATAATTGTCTGTTTTTAAAAAGCTATCAGCAGGTGCGCCTCACTTCAAATGCTTCGCGTCCTTCATAATACAATATTCATCATGATTACATAGTATGAAATAAAAAGCAGCAAAACATAAGTGAGGATATTTCAATTAAATGCAACATAATCTCTGCAGCAAACAACAACAACAAAAACGGCTCTGTAGCTAAAACAGGTTCTGACGAAAGAAAAAAGGGAATCTATTTCCACATATTTTTAATTACACAGAATTTCCTCAAACATGATTTTTCATAATATATTCCATTAAGCGAACATCATATTTGAAGAAAGAGCATTTTCCGATTTCATTTTAAGCCTGATTTTGAGCAATTACAGTGTCATTGTTGTGTGGTAGAAAGGTTGAATTCATTTACTGTGTGGTTATGCTAGTTATGATTGATGTCTCTTCTCCAAATGATAAACCAATCACCCCAATGATGTAATGTCATTTTAAGAGTGCCATAATCACATTTCTCTCAAACTAGAAGCTCTGATGAGTTCTAATAAAGATTTATGGTAGATTAAAGGCCTTCATAATATCAACAATGGATTGCTCATTTGATGAGAGATTTGATTAGGTAATTTTTTTTGAAAAAGAATATGAGTTTACTAAATATATCAGGCCTGGCTTTGAAGAAGGGCATGGGCCATCATAAGTAGTAGTCCATCATTCCATCTCCAGAATGAATCATCTTAAATGTATTTAGAAGGTCCTCTGTAATTGTAGAGGTTGAGGCCAGTGGTGGCATACACTCATGGATGGAGCCAAAACACAATCTCATCAAAGAACGGTCTTGGCATGGAAATCTCTGTACTACTTTTGATAGGATATGTTAATGAACACCGTGAGTCGCCAATTTGGAAGCTAACTCCAAAGCCTTTGAGTCAGGAGCAATTAATTTCTGCAAATGTCTCCCCTTGGGCCATGGGTACTTAACCTTAGATACTGCCCACTATGTTCATATGTGTTCTGAATGTATCACCAACAGGAGAAATCAAAATAAGGCATGATGCTGGCTGGCCCTAGGGCAATTTCACCAGGTTTAGAGGTTGGGAGCTGAGGTAGTAGCCGCAGAAATCATCAAAAGTGGGACAGAACCCCGGAGGGCAGTCCCTTTGCTCGGTGAATGTGAAAGCTACAATGAGAACTGGGGATTTGGAAGCCATGTTTATCATGGTACCCCATGATCATCTTGCTAAATTCAAGTAAAGTGGCATGGGTAGAGGGTTATAGGAGAGCTCACCATCCCCAAACACTTCAGACTTGGAAAGACATTCAGTAGTCACGTCAAGAGAACACATTCTAACAGCAAAATCATCTAAACAAGCCAGGCAGAAAAGTCAGAAGCCAACCAGCAAAAATCAAGAGATGTGAGATGAACATAAACTGGGCCCACGAGGGTGCCCATGTCCCTTGGCTATGCCCAGAATACCAATAATCCAAAATGGAGCATTCCATTCTCCCTCTGCCCTTTACCTTGGAGACCCGTGTGCTCTCATGCGCAGCAGTGGGCGAATTCCTTCCACCGAAGGAGGCCCTGAAATCCCACTCAGATAAGCAAAGCCTTATCTGAGACCTCCAGCAAATGCATCCTGGAGCTGCAATGCCACAAAATGGCAAACGTATTTTGCCTTGATGCTCCCCACACCACCTTCTCCCCAGCCCTTGTTGCAAAGCTGTCCTTTGGCTGGAGGCACGATATTGTCAAGCACACAGCCCCGCACATTCAGACACCACGGTTTTCCTTACCACTGCTGGAGGCTTGCTGGGGACCTGAGCATGCTCTGAGCAGGTATGAATTGGGGGAGAATTCCTCATCAGGGTTGGTGTCCATGATTTGATGGGAGGTATTGCTGTCTAGCAATGGCATCTGGCAGCTAACTGGTGGAGGATTATGGGAGCTAGGCAGCTGAGCAGATGGGAGGAGGCTAGACGAGGATGTAGGTGGAATGGGACGACCTGGGAAAGAGGACAGAGGGGTCAAAGGTCAGTAATGAGTGTTATGAGAGCATCCAGAGAAAGTTACATTGAAACCATCTGACAATACAAATATCTTTAAAAAAAAAAAGAAAGATAATGTTCCAGATGTATTTTTTGGAGTGGTTTGATGTTTCTCCAAAAGTCTAAATTCTTACTACACGTAGTTGCACGTTTGAGAAAGCCAGCACGAGCTGATATGGAATCCGTCTGGAAAACGCAATCTTCTTCCTAGCTCTTCTGCTGCTCTCCTACCCTACGTCCACATCATCTCTCACTGAACTGTCTCTTTACTGGTCTCTCTGCTTCCACACTTTGTCAACACACCATCTACTCCCCACTGTCCCCATCGTTTCTCTGTAGCCAGAACGATATTTTAAAGCTAGAAGTCAGGTTCTATCACTCGCCGGCTCGGCCCTCTCCCGTGGCTGCCCACTGCATGTGGAAAGAAACGGCACGATGGCCTCTGTGTCTTGCTTCCCCTGGCGCTAGGGGCCGCTCCTGAGTCACCGCTGACAGCGGCCCTCACCACTCTCTACTTGGCCCCTCATTCTCCAGCCGAAGGGCCACCCGTACTTCTGCGGCTGGAACATGTCCACCACCCCATCTTCAGTCTTCACGCTTCCTGCCCCCTCTATCTGGAACATTCTCCTCTACATTCTCACTGGTGTCACAGTCCCGCTGCTTCACGTCACTCAAGCCGTCCCTGTTTGTCTTCTTGACAGTTGCTCACCTATCTTCTCTATCCTACTAATTAGCCAGTTGAAATATTTTCAGAGCCCTTAGTACTATCGGAAAGTGGACTTTTACTTATTTTATCCACTCCTGCATCCTCCGTGTCTTCCTAACAAATAATACTCCTTGAATGAATAAATAAGTCAGGCTAACACCAAATTCATTAGTTTGGGTTAGAAGTGGAGGAGAGTCGGAAAGGGTGACACACTGGCATCCCAAAGAGCTGGCCAGAGCCCCAGCTCTCACCACCATGGGGGTGTTTTTTTTTTTGACACAATGGGGGGGTTCCTACAACGAGAAGCAGCCACTCCAGACATGAAGAGGACCAGCCAGCCTGGCAGGAAGCGGGCGCTGACTCGGAGCCGCCTTTGGGTCAAGGAGTTCTCCTCTCACACAGAAGGCTGCGGCAGCCTCTTCTCCACATGGCAGGGAGCTCCTGGCAGCCAAACTGCTGAGTGAGGGTAACTGCCATGCGTACCTTCACCTGAGTCACCCTTACATCTTGGGGTCCTTGCAAGTGCTTGCCTGCCGGTATGTTCATTTGGGAAGCTCAGAAGAAAAAAAAAAAGCCAAGAGTAGCAGCCTACAGGATATGCCCTCAAGCTGGGGGTGCAGAGGGAAGGGGAGGCATGGAGAAATCAAATGAAAAATTCAGGTTTGAGTTTCCACTCAGGCAACAAAAGCTTGAGTCAGAAGAAATAAGCATTCCTGCTTTTAGATGTACTACATATGTGGGGGCATTGTCAAGCACCTCAAATGGATGCCAATTTTTGTTGTTTATATAATTGCATTTCCTGACCTATTCCTCAGAGCATTAAATGATACTGATAGATCAGTTTGGCTCAATACGATGCATGAGTGCCTCTGATGTGCCCTCTGAGATACCGAGGATACAAAAGTAAGCAAGGCATCACCCCTGCCCTCAGAGAGCTCAGAGTATAGTGGGTGAGGCTGACAGGTAACTGTCATTTCTGTACAGGATAAACAGCAGGATGGTGGCCTGTAAAATCATGGTGCTGTGAGGGTTGAGAAAGGGACACTTGGTCCTGCCTGGCCGGGTAGACATAGGGGTGGGGGGTCCAGCGAGGATGCCTGGGTTAGGTGATGCCTGAGCAATCTTCAAAAGAAGAGGAAGGGGACTTCCGCTGAGAGGAACCCTGATGCGCAATCGCACAGAGGCGTCAAATCACTAGCCTAGGACTCTTTTGAGGGAGGGAGTGGAAGAAAAAGACAGGAGCTAAGATACTCCTACAGCTTACATGTTAGGGGCCCCTGCCCAGTAACACGGCTGAAGAAGAGTCATCCCTGAAATAGATCAATGGAGAAACGGAATTTGATTGGAAAAACTCAGTTCATTCATAGCTGCTTGGGAGCCATACCAGACACGATGTATTTGCCAAATAAAACAGAAAAGATAGACTGAACAAATCAGTTTCATCAGAATCAGTACCCACATTTAATCAATACCTCCTCCCCCAGGTCTCCTTCGAATAATAATAACGATCATTATTATTATTTTAACTGCTATTGTTTTGTGCAGTGACTATTTGGCACTCACTGTGATAGCCACTTTACATATATTATCTCATCTGGTTTTCAAAACAATCCTATGAGGTTAAAATTATTATAATCCCCATTGCATAGATGAGGAAACTGAAGCACAGAGAGGTGAGATGGCATAGCTAGTAAGTGACAGGGGCCAGCAGCCAAACTCGGGTTTGCACATTCCCAAATCCACTCCCTAACCTCTCTGCCAAGTGCTTTCCCTAACAGCAAGGTGACAAAGGAAGAAAAAGGTGACATACAAAATGGGAGGTGATTTATAGGAAGTCATATCCCAGTTTCCCATCTCCCAATCCCAAGACACGCTCAAGATCCCAAAGAAGAAACATTTCTTCGGATAACCATTTACAGCAGCTATCCGCTGGCAGAGCTCAAAGCTTTCCTCGTAATTTTGTTACGAAGTTCAAAGTGACTCCTTCATGGCCATGTTACTCTCCTCCTCCTTCGAGGCTCCTGAAGGCGGAGGTGTCCCGACCAGGGCGCGGCGAGGTCTGTGTTGATGCCCACGGAGCAGCAAGGCTCTGGGAGGAACAAATTTTAACTCCCAATCAATCGGCTGTAAAGTTTGTGTTGAGGCGAATCTGAGACGGCATGCTGGAGAACAAGGATGGCTGGAAGCCAATTTTTAACTTCCTTTGAGTGACTGAGGTGGAACTGAAGTTCAAGTGCAATTTTCCAGGAGCCTGATACGATAGTTGCTGTGAAATCCTTATTTACATGAACTTTTTGAAATTTTGTTCGGCATGAATTCATTGCCGACAGTACAGCCAGAGCTGCTTTTTAATGTATATAAGTACAGACAATGGAAGAGCAGTCAGAACACAAGGAAAACACTGGGGTTCCTTAGGTGTACTGAAATACCCATCACAGAATTGTCTGATTCCTGTTACTTTAAATCCATGCTTTGGTAGCTCCTTAAACTCTGCTTCCTGGTATCTCCCATTACTTGAAAAATTTCTCAGTCCCTAGATCCGCCCCCAATCAAATTGATGCTGTTCTCTATTTGCTATGTTATTTGCTAATTTTGTTCACTTATGCTGACTATTCCAACTGACAGAAACCATCTGTACAGACACAAACAGGTTCCAAAGGACAGGGGAGAAAGCTGGAACTTAAACAGGCTCACTTTATAGACCATGGTTTCTTACCTAGTGTGGAACGGGCATGTAACCAGGGCCTATGCACTTACCTGGATCCTACTTTATACCCTACAGGGGACCCCTGACTCCCAAACTATTTATGAAGTTCCATTTTGAACGGGTATAGCGTCCCTGGAAAATATATAGAACACTGAGTTTAACTGATCTATTAAAGAGCAAGACGAAACATGCAAAGGCAGCAATATGTCATTCATTAAACTCAGATGGTCTTGTGTATGTGTGGGTGTGCATGTGTGTGTGTCTTTTCCAAGATCCCCACGTAAATCAAAGTCTAACGAGTCATCTGTGTGGTTGGATTCCCCGCGACCCTAAAGCTGGGGACAAATTCAAATGTTTCTAACGTATCTGTTTTCAAATGAATAAGATTGTGTGATAGTTTCAACTTGTGAAATTTTCCTGATTGAAACACCGATAGCCAGATAAAGCATGTCCAGGCTGACAGACGGGTAGTGGCTGTTTGAATGCTGTGTTGAGAAGGATTCCGAAGGCACTCAGGGTTCAGCGGGACATGGTGCCATCATCAATTAGAAAATTCATGGACCAGGAGTGGGGGAGAGGCAGCAGATGCACAGCACCTTTTTGTCAGCCATGCTCCAGGCCTTCATTCATCATCTGCCTCAGTCATACCTGAAAACTTTATCCGACACCATCTGTGCTTGAAGTCACATCGCTCTAACTCCCATCGTCTCAATTACAGCCCTGTTTTTCACCTTAAACTGATTCAGATCTCGATTTAGTTCTCCCACCCAAGATTAAAAGGCTCCAATCTTCTCTCCATCCCCAAAGCAGTAAATATTACCCATTCAATTGCTGCTCTGCCCAACTGTTGTTAATACAGCCCCTAATTTATGATTGAGGGCAGGCTGCAAATCAAGTCCCCAAATTCACTGAAAACAAATGGTTCCTTTCTCATTCAAAAGATTAATGGTACGTAGATATTGGGTTGTCGTAAAAGTCATGATGTATTTTTTTCTATGTTTTTCATTGCAAACATGCGTCATGATTTTTCCGACAACCCAATATTTAAAATGTTCTGTGTAGATGATGCATAATCGATCTATGCAGTGACAGGGAGTGAGGATATCTGGTGGAGAGCAGGGAGACGTGATCAAGAGACAGTTTAAAAAACAAAACCAAAAAATACGAAGAAACGGTACCAGGAGTCATTAGATTTAAAATAGTAAGTTTGATGACCTGGTTACCACTTATGTATGTGTGATCTTGCTTTGTGCTAAGAGCTGAGCTAAGATTCTACATTTATTTTTCTCTTTTATTGTTTACAACTTTTCTGGGAACAAAGCATTAGTATCATCCCCATTTACTGGTGAAGGAATGGGGGCTTAGTTGGACTAACTTTCCCAGCATTGCACAGCTGACAAGCAGCAGAACTGGCTGGGATTTCAATCCAGGCTGCCTGACTTCAAAAACCAAGGCTTGAATGGTTTATTCTAACATTTCTCATATTAGACAAGAGTGATTGCTAAACAATGAGCGAGTTGTGAGCTCCAGACTCCTCAGTCCTCA